GTGCTCCTGGGTCATTCTGTATCAACCGCTCTCCTAGCATGTCCCTCGCTGCATTGTGGTTGTCTATCTACTAGTCCAGTCCACCAGTCAGGGAGCCCCTGGAGGGCGGGAATGCACGGGGTTCCCTAGGCACCCCGTCTGTGCTTCCATGACACGTTACATATAGTTCTGTAAGGGGACTTGCCAGACTCTGCCTTATTGTTCTTTCTGTACAAACCATCTCTCTGCCTTGAAGGGCAAGGACCATGGACTGTCTTTGTATTCTCTCTGCATTAACACGTTAAGGTTGCTCAACAAATTAAAGAAAGCCTAGTCCATCCAATTGTTCTTTAAACCTTCCTACCTTAGATGGACCCAAGGCTCTCTGCCATATTCCTTAAATCCCATCCTGTCTGACCATGGGATGCTCAACGACTTCCGGAGTGTGGCGTCAGTTGTTTGGCTGAACCTGTCTAGACGTTGCTGTGAGGGTGTGCTTTAGATGTGATTAACATTTAAATCAGCAGATTTTGAATAAAGCAAATTACCCTCCTTTATGTGGATGGGCCTCATCTAATCAGTTGAAGGCCTTAACCAGTTGCAGTCCGTGAGGGAGAAGGAATTCTGCATCCGAATGCCTTCAGATCCAAGACTGCAACATCAATTCTTCTCTGGATCTCTAGCTGTCGGCCTGATTTCAAACCTGCCAGTCCCCACGGTCGAGAGTCACTTCCTCAAAATATCCATCCACCCAACCATCCATCCATCTATCCATCCATCTCATTGGTTGGGTTTCTCTGGAGAACCATAGTACACCATTTCCCCATCCTGCCACCTTCCTTATGCACCCCTCCTATGTTCCCGAGTGTCTCTTGAACTCTACTGCTTTACTTTTATTTTTGTTTTGGTTGTATTTTGCAAGCATTGTTCTCCAGCCTGTAAAGATCAGAAGACAGGACCTGGTGGGAACAAAAACTGACAATGTGTGAAACAAAAACCCAAATGATACACTATTCAAAAGAATTCAGGTCTCCTGTGTCATGGGCCTTACAAAGGCGAAACATTGTTAGTAACTGTCAAGGGCACACAAAGGGGTACCCCATGGTTGCCATTCTTTCAGGATGGTAAAGTTGAAGCTGCAATCCACAGCCTAGTGGGTTTTTTGTCCATGCCTGGCCAGATGATGGATTCTTCACAGGATGGCTTTTTGACAGGGTTGTGATTCCCTACAAGCCATGTCACCTTTCTTTCAAAAAGAAATGCAACAGTCACAATACCTTGCCACTTCAGAAAGATATTTGGACTTGCGCTGTTATCTCTGTCCGCAAATGAATTACGGGGAGGGCACAAGGACAATTTAATTAGCAGCTAATCCAGGTTACCGGGATATGTACCAAACTTAAAGCCAGTTTTTAGAGGTCAGTTACTTGATTTTCTCCAGCCCAATAGTCTCAGATGGGAGAACAATGGAAAACTCTGGATAACAATCAGAATTTTTATTTTTTAGATTTTATTTTTAAGTAGTCTCTACACCCACTGAGGGGTTTGCACTCAACCCAGAGGTGGAGAGTCACGTGCTCTCCCTACTGAACCAGCAAGGTGCCCCAACAATTTGAATTTTTAAATCTTGACAGGTTGGAGCCATGAGCACATTCTCTGGTAAAACTTAATAGGGCAACTTTACAGGTCCTGCACTTGAGTTCAAAAAAGCAGCTTCCCGTGGATGGGATGAAGGAGCTGGCTGGGCTTCACTCAGTCCATGAGATGGAAGTCCCAGGGTCCTCAGATGGGACCCGCAGGAGTCAGGCACAGTGTCATTTGTGTCCCAGTCTGCACTTCAGCTAATGCCCGAATGGGATGCTACATGCCCTTGCCGGCCCCAGGCTTTTGCGACATTCAGCGGGGCGCAGCTGGCAGGGCAGAAGAACATGGAACCATGCGGGAAGGACAGCACACAGGCCAAGAGGCCACAGTCTGTGGTGAGACATCCCAGGTCCAACGTCTTTTCCAGTCCATGAGCTCCATGGACAGCTTACTGACTTCTCTAGCCTTCGGTTCCTAATCCACGAAGGGAGGAGAGTAATGCCCACCTTGCGCGCTCTCTGAGGATAAGGGCAGTGAATATATGTAAAGCAGATTTGGGGCACTGCTTAGCACTGAGCGTCAACGTTAGTCAACACCACTAACTGATGGTAATGGAAGGAACCTCCCGGCGCGAGAGAGTAACTGCTCTCGCCTGCCCTTGGAGAAGATGCCTGGAGGCTGCCTGGCTCCCCGTGACAAGGGGCTCGCTACCGAGCAGATGGCCTACAGGGGAAGGCGTGGGCCTCCCAGTAAGTGGCAGGGGGCTGCAGGGAAGCCCAGTGCCTGACACCAATGCACCAGGCGACCTCTAGGGTCCCAGCTACACTTGAGCTTCCATGACCCCGAGGACTTGATATCTTGGGTTCCCGTGGCCTAGAGAAAGGCATTCACCGCCACCCACATGCTAAAAAGCCAAGCAGCCACTAAAGATTCCCATCTCCAGGTCACCTACGTGCCCCCAATTCACATTTATTCTCTAATTGACAAGGGGGAGAGCACAAGCCCAGCAGAGCTCTTCGGCTGCCTTCAAGGCTAGGTGGTTGGTGATGCACTGGGATCAAGACCCTCTTTTGCACAGATGAAAAGGCTAAAAGGCAAAAGCAGCTACAGACGAAGCCTGAGAAAAGATGAGTGGTTTGCTCCCACTCCCTCGTCCAGGCCAGGCCAGGCTGCCCGCTGTGTGTCAGAGAGGGAAGAGGGCTGTGTTCAGACCAGCTCCTCTTCTGACCCCGTGACCGTGACCTGTGTGCACGTGGGAGGGTAGCACCACCTCCTCGCAGTGTCCGCCCCCTGCCCTCGCCCCTGACCAGAGCTGGGCAGTTGAGCTACACACACAGAAGACAGCAGGCACCAGGAAAGCTCTGTGAATAAAACTTTAATAATGTACAGCAGAAATTGGACAGGCTCATTCTTATATTAAAACAAAAGATTTCCTATATTACAACTTATTTACATTTGCATACTGAAGAGGTAAAGTGTCTAAGTGGCTATTTTACAGTCCTTTCTAATAAAATGTACAAAAACAAACAGAAGTACCGAGAATGCCGTTCGGGGGCCTTGATGGCGACGTGAGAACGGGCTTGGACTTGGTCTGTGAATCCAGAATCCAGAGGTGCAGGTAGCCCTATGGATCAGGGTTAGCCCCAGGGGCCAAAAACCACGGCTTTAGGCTTCAGTGTCTCCCCAGCTCTCCAACTCCTAACTCCTGGTGTTAAGAGCAGTGGGGAAGAGGGTGAGAACTTCCCCAAAGACTGCTGAGTCTTCCCCAAGGTGCGGTGAGGCCAGAAGGGCCTCCCGGGGAACAGGCCAGTGGCTTGGGAGGCCCTGGGTCGAGGAGTGTTGGCAGATCCCAGAGGCTGGTTGTGACTGGGGCACGGGAGTCTAAGTTCCATCACCGCCTCTACCCTGCCAGGTTCTGCTGCAGGGCAGACAGGCGGGAGATGGGGGGGGGGCATAGGGATCAGCAGGGATGGGGAAAGAAGGTCCCCCTAATGACACAATTGGTATTCAAGGGAAATCAGTCAGTAGCCAGTAAATTGGCCCAAAGGGTGAGGCAAAGATCTCCTTTAATGCAAGGAAAGAAGCAACACATCGGGAAAATAAATAGGAAGACCAGGAGCATTTGGGAGACCCATGTAAGCAGGGAGAGGCTCGCCCCTCCTCCACGAGCTTTGGCAGAAATCACTGGGCTGGAGGAGGGCCCGCTCTCAGGCTGCATACATCATGTGCTCCCCTGGGGGCAGGAGGGGGGGGCTTAGAATGAATGCAGTGATTTAGGGTCTCACTGCCCACCACCAGGCTCTTTGGGGTGGGGAGGCACCCTGCTCCTCAGTGGTCTTCTCTGCGAGCAATCATTCCAGGCTCAAAAGGCTCTCAGAACCAACTCTACAAACATCTGCTCTTGAACCAGGCACCCACTCACTGGGGTCAGCCCCTTCTTCAGTGCTCCAAGAGGGGGCCCACACCTGTCTTGCTCATGTATAGTATTCCAAGCGCCCAGCACAGTGCCTGGCACACAACAGGCACTTGGCAAACATCTGGTGAATAAATGCTGGAGGGAAAGTTGCAACCAGCTGAACAATGCACAGAGGCTAGGGCCCTGATGCAGAAACCACTCACAGAACTGGGGGCTGGGGAGAGGGGGGGACACAGTGCAAGACAGACTGACCTCCAGGGCAAAGAGGGAGGAACTCTCGCTGCTCAGTGGGAACAGGCTCAGGTGCAAGGACAAACATTTCCAGTGTGATTGAGCTGTGTGCGTTTGATTGAAGCTTTTTTTTTTTTTTTGCGGTTGTTTCATAGGAATTTCTTTAAAAACAAAGAGATTGAGAGGTAATAATCATATAGAGATGGTTTTCCTTTTATAAACACTTAATAATATTAAAAAAAGTTAAAATTCAGACCCTTCCAATAAAATTAAGAAAGAAAAAGAAAGAAAGAAAGGAAAGAGAAGAGAGAGAAAGAAGGAAGGAAAAAAGAAACAACCCAAATCACTCCAGTTTAAAAGTTATGGCTTCAAAGTTATTATATACCTAAAATATGCTGAGCAAATCACCACCCACAACCGTGCTTCTAGACGTCATTAAATACTATACTCAGGTTAAAAGAACAGATTTGGCTCGGGCTGTTCCCTTTCATAGGGCCCCTGAAGTGGGTGCAAGTCTCACATCTTCCCTCCACCGTAATCAGATAATCCAGTAAAAGACCCATGCAGATGCCTCCCTCCCACCCCGGACTCCCTCCCCACTCCTTGCCCCCCTCTCCCTTCCCCACCCTAAACCCATCACCACCAAAAATATACACTGCTGTTTCCAGAATCTGGGATATGAAAGACAGATGTGACATTCCAATCTGAGTCCCAGGATCTGGGCTTCAAATCCCTTGGCCCTTCCTGCTGCTGCTGAGGACGATGCCCTTGGGCTGGCTCATTTCTAACTGCACCGCCTGAGACTTCGGCCAAGATTCTTTCCCCGCCCACCCCCACGCCTCACATTTGGACCCAAAAGCCTCGCCTGACATGGACAACTGGGCCAGCTTTGGTTCCACAGTCTGAAGTGAAGGTGTTGACATGGGGTGGGTGGGGCAGCCTGCTGGGCAGGGAGCCCCACCACGGCATGGGGGTCCTGGGGTGGGGAAGGGCTGGGAGTAAGACCTCTGGGAAGGGCACCAGGGAAACCAGACGCTGCTCACTACCGAACAGAGGCACCAGCACGCAGAGACGGCATGACAACCACACCCCCGACCTGCACATGCACAGAAAGCTCAAGCAGGTAAGTGCGCACCTACAGACACACACATACACACACACATATGTGTAAGAGCGTGGCACGGACCAGGCACAACAGGGGACGCACCTCGGCACATGCACACACACACGGCTGGACAGACAGGCAGCAGATTCTGTCTCCACTGGCGGGCCCTCCAGATGTCCGCAGGAGGGAGGAGGGGAGCCTGGGGCCCAGAGCTGCCTGTGAGAGGGCGCTGTCCTCTTGGTGCCTCTAGGCCACCTTGGAGTGCTGGGGTTGGTCCCTGGAGGAAAACCCTCAGCGCTGCACGGCACTGGCGCCCTGACGACACTCGGCTTCGTCCAGGCCGTCCAGGCCACCAGCCAGCGCACCGGGGTTGCGGGACTTCCCACCACAGCCGGCTCGAGTTGTGGCATCGAGTTCTCCGCACCCTTCGCTCTCAGAGTCTCCGTGCCGTTAGGAGGTAAATATAAAAGGTGTCTGTGTCTCAAACCCAACATGGGAGTGAGGGAGTCTCCCGGGCTCGGTCCCTCTTTCGGGCCAGGACTCCTGGCCACAGAGGGCTGGGCAGAAACGAGAGGTAGGCCTCCATCGTACGCTCAATGCGGCAGCTCTGCGTGTAGTTCCCACTGCCCAGGCTGCGTGCAGGGGAGGGAGAGGCTTAGATCTTCACATCTTCCTGCACGCTGAGCTGTGAGAGGGTCTTCTTAATGCGCAGAGCGGTCAGGCGGGCCGCGCCATTGGCGTACCAGCACTCCCGCATCATTTTCCCCATCACCCGTAGAGCCTGCACAGGGAGACCCAGACAGCGTCAGTTGGACCCTCACCCCTGCCCCGGAGAGGCCTTCCCAACCACCTTCCTGAGCCCCAGGACGTCTGGGGCAAGCTTCCTTCCCCTTGCTTCCTTGGGGGCCAGGAGAATGCTGTGCCTGGAGAGGGGAGATGTGCCCTGCAAGTGCCCTAGGCCAGCCATCACCGGAGTGCTCTGGATGAGGGTCCCAGAAATAGCCAGGGCTCCGAAAATCACTTCTGTCAGGCTGGAGACTCCCTCTGCATGATTCTGTCCTAACTGGTTTTCTAAAGCAGCACGTGAACCAGGCATAACAGGGGCACCTCTGGGCACGCACACATCTGCGAGCCCACAGCTCACAGGCACAGACTGGGGTGAGGAGCAGCAGCAACAGGGCCCCTGAAGGCAATCCTGTCAGAGGCAGAAAGCTACACTGCCACTGCCTGGACTACACAGGCGACCACCATGGTCAGGCCAAGAGAAGGGTTCTGGAAGGTCGCCTACGAACCTCTACTGGTTCCGAAGGGCCACAGAAGTCCCCAGTGGCTACCCTAGGCCAGCGGTTTTCAAAATTTCAAAGCCTGACCGAAGGGTGTGTGGAACAGGGGCAGTTAAAGACCAGCTCTTTTAACCTCACCCTCATCCTCGGAAACCCTGAACTGAAGGCTCCAAGGAACATTTTGGAAAATGCTGCTCTATTATGCAACAGGAAGACATCACATCATATGTGAACTGAATGATTTTGTTCTTAAATGCACCAATGCCCCCTAGTGGTTTTAATGCCTAAAAGCAGCACCATGAGGACCAAGGAGGCCCACATGCACTTGGTTCCGCAAACCCTGCTCCTGGGAAGGCTCTAAGACCCCAGAATGCCATGTTTATTAGGAACCTGCATTATAAATTTGCTCTCATTTCAATTCCCCCCCAAATGCTGTCCCCGCCCCACTTCAGATGCCACCTCGCCCAAATTCCAACCCTACACACCCTCCTCCCTTCTGAGTTTTTAGAAAAGCCACCTCCCTCACAGACATGCCTTCTCCCTAAGTCCTGTCCTGCCATTCTTCTACATCCAGGCTAAGCTTCTTTCCTGGATGCCTCTTCTAGGCTCTTCTCTTCCACAGAGCTCAGCTCACCCCTGTGGTTCCAGAGCCATGGGTCTAATGCTTCCCGCTCAGTTTTTGTTTCTGTCTCTTGTTGACCACCTCACTTGGCTTGGTCCCCAAGACACAGATTTTTCTTCTTCTAGGCTCTCGATTTGCAAGGGAACCCTAGGGTGACCAGGACAAGGCGCCGTAGCCCCTCAGGGCTTAGTATAAGACAGCACATGGTTGTGCATAACTGACACACTCAGAGGTTACCTCTGGGCACAGCCTCCTTGTTGGAAAACACTTTTTCCTTTTTTTAAATTAGGAAACCGTTTTTCTAAAGTAGAAAAATCAGGCAGATGGAAAAGCCACAGGAGGCAGGGAAGCTTCCTACCTCATAACTCTGCCACCAATTGGGGATGTTGGGACGGAGCTTCTGGTCACATACGACCTTTCGCATTTCCTCAATGGAAGGGTCAGAGGGCACTAGGTCATAATACGGCAGCTGATATTCTTCATGGACTCCTGGGAGAAAAGAAAAATATCCACCTGAGTTATCAATAGAAGGAGGGCAGTACTCAAAAACCTACAACACCACTTCCACTGTGATCTATAAATACCACTTCCCGCTAAGAGGAGCCAGGGCTCCCTGGAGAGGTGGGTGGGTTCCAGGAAGGGGATAAGAGATACAGGAGATTAGCCAGGACTATCTTTTCCCTGCAAACTATCAAAGACTACTAAGGTCGTGTCAAAAGGCACAAACTTGGAAAGCTCCCCTGTGGCCAAAGATGAGAACATTTAAGCAAAAGTAGGACTAATTAATCACTTCAATGGAAGCAAATATTTTAAATCCACCAGTTCACGATATTAAAAAAAAAAAAAAAGGGACACCAAAAACCTCAGTCACGTTTGTAGAGGGAACAAACTCACTATTTTGAAAAATGGTAAGTAAATATAAAGATCAGAGTATTTTTCCTTCCTTCCCTATTCAAATTACATTTCTTGGTAACTAAACAACTAGGGGAAATTTCTCTTTAAAGAAAAAATCCAGGAGTGCCTGGCTGGCTTAGTCAGGAGAGTATGAGACTCAGAGTTATGAGTTTGAGCTTCATGTGTGGAGTAGAGTTTACTTAAGAACAAATTATTGTTTAAGAAATTTAAAAAATTAAAAAATCTAGCTAATATTTCAGGATTGACAGTATCAGAATATTGGCATTTTTCAACCTCTAATGAATGTGGATTTGGACAATGATCACTGATTGCTATTAACATCACAAAGAAGACAGAACCAGCATTATGTGCCTGGTGACAGAACAACTTTGGGGGAAAAAACTGTGTGTGTGTGTGTGTGTAACTCTCATCATTAGCTGTAACTATCACAGGAAATCCACAGGAATAGAAGAACATGTGAATGCCAGGAAAAGGTAACTGGCAAAATCTAGATAGGAAAACTACAAGGCAAATGATCTAGATTCTCCAATGGAATAAACTGCAAAGGAAAAAAAAGCAGAGGGGACCTGTACATTATAAGAGACTTAAGATGTGTGTCAGCCAACTGCAGCTGATGGACATTATTTGAGCCCTAATTTGAACAAACTGTTTAAAAAATCTGGAGACACCTGGGGAAATCTCAACCTGCACTGGTTAAATGATACTACTATTCACTTTTAAAGTATAATAACAGTGTCATGTTTTTAAGTTCTTATCTTTTAAAGCTACAAACTGAAATACTTTCTGTAATAAAAAGCTAATTTAAAAATTCCAAGGTAACTTTCCCTGCCTTTTTCCAGGAAAAATTCTACTGTTCTGAGCTAGTGGGGCAGATCTATAAACAGAGTCTGACTTGGTAATTATCTAAGGGGTAGCTGAGAAACTATGCTCTGGCCTCAGTCAGCCGGTGTTTGAATCCTAGCTGATTAGTGTGACCTTGGACAAATTACCTAATTTTGCTTTGACTCATTCTCATCTGTAAAATTATGAAAATAATAGTACCCACCTCTTAGGTTCTGCAGGACAGATTCAGTGAGTTCATACACAGTGAGTAGTGAGTAAGTATCATTATTACTAGAATACTCAGCCCCAACTTCTGGGGAAAAAATTAACTTATTCACAGTTTAAGACCTGTGTGACCAGATTTTTCTTAAATCTGTTTTATGTGTATATAATGATGCATATTTCAGGGGTGCCTGGCTGGCTTAGTCAGTAGAGCACACGACTCTTTAAAAAAAAAAAAAATAATAATAATTATTATTTTTTGTCAGAGTGAGCGAGCACAGGCAGGCGGAATGGCAGGCTGAGGCAGAGGAAGAAGCAGGCTCCCTGCTGAGTAAGGAGCCTGATGCAGGACTGGATGCCAGGACGCCGGGATGATGACCCAAGCCGAAGGCAGCCACTCAACCAACTAAGCCACCCAGGCGTCCCAAGCACACGACTCTTAATGTCAGGATCATGAGTTCAAGCCCCATGTTGGGGGCTGGGGGGTAAAATTTGCTTTAAAAATAAATTTTTAAAAATGTTATATGTGCAATTCCATGAATACCTGGGTGCCTGCTCCATAATATGAATCTTCCCAAACACACGAGAGACGGAGAAGGTGAGTAAAACAGAAGAGCGTTCCACTGGAAGACTTACCAGTTCTTTTAAGTTCACTTAATTTTAATTTATTTCATTTCCATTGACCTGGAATCTTTTACATCAGAGACAAATGGCTGAGGGAAAGATTCTAGTGGTTCCTGAATTTGTTTACATGGCAGAAAAGTTAGAAGTCATTGTATAATACTGATGTACTAAGCTAATGATAAAAAAATGTTTCCTGCTAGATCTGATACTACCTTTTACTGGATTCTGATATGGGCGAGCAGTGCAAATGCCAAAGGTGTAAGAAACAATTACAGAATAAAAAACCCAACTCATTTTGAGAAAATCCTGTATATTAATAAACTTTCTATTCCAAATTCAGAAATTACCACCATTACCTGATCAGCACTATGGCCTGAGAGCTGGTGTCAGAACATACTCCCTGCCTCTCATGGAAAGGGAAGCCCTGTATTAGTCCTGGGCTATTCCTGCCCGGGGCTTTCCCAAACTCTGAGGATAAGGACAATGTGTTTAAAAAAAAAAAAAAAAAAAGAAACAAACAAACAAACAAAAAAATAAGCCAAATAAGCCTCCAGAATGGTTACTACAATGTAAAACACTATTCTACAGGGGCACCTGGATGGCATGGTCGGTTAAGCATTCATTCAACTCTTGATCTCGGTTTAGGTCATGATCTCGGGGTCCTGGGATTGAGTTGGGCTCCAGGCTGGGCATGGAGCCTGTTTGAGAGTCTTTGTCTCTCCCTCTGCCAACCCCTGAACCATTAGCGCACTCACACTCTCTCTCTCAAATAAATAAAAATAATTTAAAAAATAAATACAATTTTGTAAAAAGCACTATGCAACAGAGTCAACACACCTTTAGTACAATCACCTCCAAGATTCCCTCATCTTTGATGAGGACCCGAGGTGTAACGGGCTCTGGGACTAGACACCCAATAGGTTGTAAAGAGAAAGGAGACACAGAAACACCAGCTCCCTCAGGTGAGCACCCTCAGTGGATCTGGCAAGCTGGACTGGCATGGGGGAGCAAGAGAAGGCAAAAAAGAAGGGTACCTCCAGAATTGCATCTCCGAGCAATCTCCCAATACACAAGCCCGAGGGCATAAATATCAGCACATTTGAAGGAGTCGAAGTGCTTCATGTTAATGGTTTCATCGAGCACTTCGGGGGCCATGTATCTGCAAGAGCAAAGGAAATAAGATCACGCCAAGAAAACGAGGATTTCTTCATTTAAATTCAAGTAGTGATTCAGGGGCCCTCTGAATGTAGAAAGGCATCACCCCAAGAATGCTCCTTGGGGAGCAGGAAGTGATCAATTCTCTTTACTGCCAACTCCCATGTTTTGGATTCGAATCTAAACACTTCAGCCAGGGCTGAGTGATACTAGGCTGCTCTTCTTTGTACCTCTATTTTTTAACCATCAAGATGTAAGTGTGTTTTGCATGTTCTGATTTCCTGACAGTAGTAGTTGTTCTGTGGATCACAGGGCAGTAACAACCCGTAACATCTGGTGGTTACTGGGGTCTTGGACTTTATTCAATGTAGCCACAGTGATGGGTTGAGTTTAAATTTCACTCTGAACTTCTTTTGTTATCTTACCTAATTACAGATAAAAATGAAATTAATTCTAGGTGATTGTTAAAGTCTTCCTTGGTTAAGTAGTACTACTTGAGCCACTCCCCCACCCCTTAGCAGCCCCCACACCTGAAGGCCAATGGCGGGGGGTCACCTCAGGCCTCACACTTTGGGGCCTAGGTAGCTGTACTCATACAGGTCAAGAGGAAGGAGGAAAGCAGCAGCACACCTGAGTCAAATTCACTGAAATCTGGCAGATAAATAGATCTCCTCTTCTGTCCCATTACAAGACCACTCCGTTTCCAACTCATGAATCAATCTACAATCCTAATTCCTTACTCCTTCCTTCACTTCTGTATGGAACAGGAAGCAGACCCATAATCCTAAAGGTGCCCCCACTCTCCACCCTAGGTCACCTCTGCTCGAGGCAGGCAAACCTGCTCTGACCCCAGAGCAAACATAGCCCTGTGTCAGCACAAGCACCCTTGGGACTACATATTCTTCCTCCCTGCCCCAGCCAAGGCTGTGGCCTGCCCCCTCTCAGATCTTTCTCCAGATTTTCTCGCTCTGCTGCCTCCCCTGCCCAACACCAAGAACAGCTACGTGTGTCTGGTTCTTGAGAGCCATGTTCACGACACCCGCATCTGTTGGAGGTAACCAGCACGGCTTTCCAGTGCACAGGGTGGGGCTTTGATTCAGCTTCCACTGTCGGGAGAGCAAAGGCCACACCTCCACGTCTATGTCTCTTTCTCCTTTGCAGATGGGGAGATGGGCGCTCATGCGCGCCTCGGTACAAGGGCAGGGCAAAGGCAGAGGCCCAAGGCCTTCCTACCGTTTGGTCCCCACCCTCTGATTTGGGGCGATGTCGATGGTGTCCGTGACCGCATCATGGCGGACAGCCAGGCCCAGGTCTGCGATGGCGCACATGCCATTTTTCTTCACCAGGATGTTCTTTGATTTTAAGTCTCGGTGAGCAATTCCAGGCTTCCCTGGCAGAGAAAAGAAAAATATGGATCTTTATATAGAGAGAGCATACATGTTAAAAGCCTAAGACTCCGCAGCCAGACTGTGTGGGTCCTACTTCTGGCTTTGCCTTCCACTAACCCCGTTAACCCTAAAAAGCGACTTAACCCGTCTGTACCTCTGTCTTCTCATCCACAACATGAGGCTACCGCAGTCCTCACTTGAGAGCTATGTGAGGACGAAACGCATTAATGTGGGTAAGTGAAGAGCTCAGAAGGACATGCACATTAGTGATTCTCATTCCTCCTCCTCCTTTCCTTTCCCTGAACTGATACACTCCAGGATAGAACTGCAAAGGAATTCCAGGAAGAACTGCTGTACTGGCTAGACTCTCACTGTCAAAGAGGCGAAGAGAAGGCCTGCTACTGTCACATGGTACTGTCACACAGTAGCCCCACAGGGGCTAGGAGCAGGATCACATGTTAATGGTTGGTTTCCAGTCAGGGCCAGCAAGAGCCATTGTCCTGGTCAACCAGAAATCAGGGAGCACACCCACAACGTGGACAAGAACCACGATCCCCCAGGGGCGCCTGGGTGGCTCAGTGGGTTAAGCCTCTGCCTTTGGCTGTCATGATCTCAGGGTCCTGGGATCGAGCCCCGCATTGGGCTCTCTGCTCAGCAGGGGGCCTGCTTAACCCCCTCTCTCTGCCTGCCTCTCTGCCTACTTGTGATCTCTCTCTTGGTGTCAAATAAATAAATAAAATCTTTAAAAGAAAAAAAAAAAAAAAAAAAAGAACCATGATACCCCAAAGAGCTGATGTCACAGTCAACCTACAAGGAAGCTCGAGGTCTGCTTCCTCCAAGAGAACCTTCCTAGGTTAGAAAAAGCCCAGTGTCTAACCCACCATGCAGTCTGTAAGCCAACTGTCCCCAATAGCGAATGTGTGACATGACTTTAGTGAACTGTGTTCCTCTGCCCTAGCTCCCTTTCTCCTCTGGGCTCCATTCTTTGACATGTGTGTGGAGACTTCGGGGATGACAGAACACTAGCTCACCACTCAGCAATCATGCTGGGCCAGCCGTTGACAAACAATGGAAACTTTATGTTCCAGAGCCCTGAGGGAATTCTAAAGACAGAGGTGGAAAGACCCCACTGGAGACACCTCTTGTTCTCAAGGGAAACTCAAAACCTCTCTCCCTTAGATTGGGCCACAGTTCTTGAGGCCCACCTCCAACCACCTCAGGAAAAAGGCATTCTGGAAACTAAACCTGGATGGTACCGGCTTTCCGAAGTCTACTCAACTTCCCGGCGCTCTGGCGGGGTCCACTCACCTTGGGTGCCCACAATCTCCATGTGCAGGTGTGCCAGCCCGCTAGCTGCAGACAAGGCCAGCTTAATCATCCCCTCGATGGTCACCGTGTATCGGTTTAGATAATCAAACAGGGAGCCATGCTCATGATAGTCTGAGACGAGCCACAGCTGTGTCCAGGTGCCATTATCTGCAGAGAACCACAGAGGAGTTCTGGAAGAGGCACAACTACCAGCAAAACGGTTAAAGCAGGAAAGAAAGAACAGGTGAACAACATGAGCGCCCAACTAGACGCCTGATTTCATGGTGGCCTCCACACCTCCTGAGGCTCCCCCTCTGTACCCGTTTCATCTACACTTGCTCACCAGTGTGGGGGTCCAGGAAGGACAGAAGAATGATGTTCTTTCTTAGGCTCCCTTATTTCTGGCAGGTGCTGTCAGAGTCTGAACACAACCTACTCATCTACTCCTTAGACCATGACTGGCTGCGCCCGCTGTGGCCAACGAGGAAGGCTTCGCAGACCCTCCTCTGTGCTCCACGAGCCTGTGAGCATAGCCCAGCCCCCACAACTGGCTCATCCCTAATGCTTCCTCTCAGGCCACGGCTCCTTCCAGGCCATGAGCTCTCTCTCTCCGGGAAAAGAACAAAGAGCTCCTTAGTGTGTTCTTATATTCCAGATAAAAAAATGCTTTTCAGTGCATGAAGAGCACAATTCCAAGTAGTGCAGAAAGGTCACCTTATCCCCAGAAGAGCAATGGAAGGTGGACAGCACGCGTTTTTCTAGGGGTAGGGGATGAGAGGCAGTGTGTAGTAGGAAGGAGGAAGGAGAAAAAGAAAAACCCAAAGCTGGTAATCTAATTAGGTTATGCTGCTGTCAATAGGAAGATTGGAAACTGGATTGAGATCTCCAAATTCCAGGCCGGTGCCAGTTCCAGGACACCATACTATACATATATATAATATATATCATGCTAAAAAGGCAAAAGCGAAGGAGTCCGATTTTTCCTCCTCCCTTGGCCCTAATGTGAGTTTTTACAGCCAGACCCCTATTCACATGGGCTGCCAGAATCAATACAGGGAGTGGCTTTTGGAACAGCACCAATTCTGGCTTCTCTGATTGTGAACAAGGAGCCCACCCAACAAACTGCTCTGGCACTCCAACCAGCCCTGAAGTTGGGAGGACCCTGGCAGTAAGTCAAAGTTGGAAGGGAAGACATCTTCTGAGCCTTTAACCTGTATGTAAAATTGAAGTGCTCTCAAAAGATGTTGCTGTTAAAAAATAAATAAATAAAAAGCATAATTTACTCAGAGGGAGTAAACATGTTCTCTTCCCCTTCTTCCCCCATGTTTGAGTCCGAGCCTCTTCCACTTAGGGGCAGTTGGGGCCATATGACAATCCCCCCCACCCAAGCAATGCAAGGAATCGGCAGTCTGCTGTGGTCTTAGGAAGGAAGAATAAATACTTAGCATCTTCTGCAGGCTTTGGAGACACTAACTTTGAGAAACTGCCATGTCATGGGAGCAGCCTCTGTCACAGCTGTCGGGGCGACTCTTCTCAAATGCACAAGCAAACACCTCCCAGTCTTTCCGACTTCAGGTGCGCCACCTGCCCACATGCCTGCCTCCCCCTCTCTCTTGAAGCTGCAAGGACAAGGCCCACGATTTGCTCCCTGTGACGATCGAAGCGGCTGGCAGAGGTCTTCCCCAACAGTGGTCAATGGCTGTTAGTGAATTAATGACTGAAATGCCAAGTACTCCCCACTATCTCAGAATAAACTGTAAGGCTCTCTAGGAGGCCCTTCACAGTCTGGCGGTGGCAGCCTCTCCACCCACATGACCTGCAGGGTCCCAGACACCCCTCACCTCTACATGTGTCTGCAGTGCCCTTCCCACTGATTCTTCTTCCTGATGGACTCCTGACACCCTGGCCTCAATCAAGCTCACGTGGAACCTCCCTGACCCCCATCTCACTCCCAATTTTTGCTCACTGGAAGAGCTTTAGACTGATTGGCTTTAGATTAATCAATTAGCTAATCGATTGCTATGAGAGTCTAGCTTCCTAGAATTCCTAGAATCAACTATTCGTTAACCTCTCATTCTCCTGGTCAGTGAAGCCCTCAAAAACAAGGATATGCCTGGCCACACAACAGAGACTCCAAATTTAAAGGAAAATGAGAAGGGAGAGGAAGGAGGAACCAAGGGACCCCAGGTCCAAGCCGACCAAAAGCAGAGCCTGAAGCCCATGAGGAGATGACACTCTGTGGGAAACCAGGTCACCCATGCTGTGCTGCCCGCTCCACTACACGTGTGGCCACTGCCAATTACATCACAGAACATGGACCGCACACTTTTCTGGGCTCTCCTGCCCTGGCAGGGGGTGAGGTCACAATTCTTCATTCCAGTGATTTTCAAGGTAAATTAACTGGAGCCCCTGCCGGGACTACACTAGGGGTGAGGGGAAGGGGTGTTAGGAATGTAGAGTAAGCAGGCAGGGTGAGGGGCTGATCTTGTTTATCTGCTTAATAACTTTGCTTGCTGAAGAGCCTGGGTTTTGGTGTAAGCTTCTCATAGAAGAAAAGTTGGAAGGACTGTCAGCCTATTCGGATTCTCTTTCTATGGGAGTAACTCGAAGGCGGTCCCATAGCCGTTCAACTTCCCCAGTGACCCCCACCCTCTGGGGCTACTGCTGGCTCTGGGACTGCCCCCCCCACCCCGGTACCCAAACCTGGCTCATTACCTTTATTGTCAGCAGCAATAAATCCAAGGATGTTTTCGTGGCGCAGCATGACCGTTTGGTATATCTCTGCTTCCCGGAACCAAGACCGTTCTTCACGAGAAGAGAAAATCTTCACAGCCACATCACCACCCCTCCAGCGGCCACGCCACACTTCCCCAAACCGGCCCTTGCCAATAATCTCCTGCAAAACGATGGTTCGGGCCACTGTGCGCTGGACAAAAAGGGGCAACCCTATGGACCAAAGAATGGAAAGAAGGCAGATATTGAAAATTTGCTGAACTTTGCAACTCCCACTCTCACTGCCACACTGGAAAGGCCATTACCACACAATGCCTCCAATCCACCCTCGTCCACTGACCAAGGACAGCTGTGGCTGCCCCTGCACCATGGCTAGGTGAGCAGTCAGAGGGCTAAACCAGGCAGCGACTGGCAGTGAGTGGACACAGAAACGGAAACGCACGAGATTAGCTGCGCCTTATCTAAGCAAATTTTCCTTTCAGTTAGTATGGGTGACAGATTTGTACACGTGTGACCAGATTTACCAACTCTGCAGCCGGCCTCTTGTGGACCAGTCCACAAGAGGACTTTATGCTAACTGAAGAGGAAAGAGGGCAGAGAAGAGGAAAGACAGTGCTCGAGGACTGGGGGTGCCTCAGGCAGCTTCGCTCTACAGCCACTAGAGGGCGGTGCTGTGTGGCCCATGAAAGCCCAACTGGTCAGGCAGGCAAGGTTCCCACCTCTCTCCAAAGCTCTGCTCACTGGTCAAGCTCCAGATACGCAACAAGAGACAACCCATGCTTATTCTAAGAGTAACTTTACTGTCTTTCGCAGGGCTCATTTACTGCTTCATTTGCCCCCTTCAGTAGTCTCCCTATCTATCCAATCACAGTTACCATCAGGACTGACTCGGAGCTCTCTCACATCCTCTCCCAGACCAAATAAACATGTTATTAATCCCTAAGTCCTGTGGATGTGAATACCATTTACCGGAGGCTTACTGTGCACCAGGAACTATGATAAAGCTTTAGATAAATTATCTCATTTCCTCACAACCACCTATAAGGTAGATGGTGTTATTATCCCCATTTTACAGATGAGAAAAGGAAGGCTCAAAAGGGAAAGTTAAGTAACTCATTTGAACTCATACAGGCAGCAAGTGGCAAAGAAGGGATTAAAGTTTAGAACTGCCTGCTCCCAAAGTTTATGGTTTTGTTTTGTTTTTCTAAGATTTTATTTATTTGACACCGAGAGATCACAAGTAAGCAGAGAGGCAGGCAGAGGGAGAGGGGGAAGCAGGGTCCCTGCTGAGCAGAGAGACCAATGCTGGGCTCAATCCCAGGACCCTGAGATCATGACCTGAGCTGAAAGCAGAGGCTCAACCCACTGAGCTATCCAGGTGCCCCCTGAAGTTTATGCTTTTAACTACAAGTCTGTAACCACCAACATGTCTCTCACATCAGACCCCTCCTCTCCATCCCCCTGCGCCCAGTTCTGGCCCTTCTTTAAAAGACTCCCCAACTGGTCTTTCTGCCTCCCCTGTCTTCGTCCTCCTGCCCTGCACACCCACACATAGCCTTGCCTCACCCTGCTCTCCCTAATGGGGGGGCTGGTGAATGAGTGAATTCACCCTCCACACCAGTGCCAGAATTCCTTCAACAGGAAAACATGAATGTTTACTTTGCCACATGAAAACTTCCGGGAGATGCCTCTTGCCTTACTGTATAAAGGACAGCACCCAAGGTCCTGCCCACCCGTGCTGTGCTGCCAGTCCCCACGCCCCAGTGTGGGCAGGGCATGCCTGTCTCTGTATTGTCCCCTGAACACATGGTGAGCTTCTGTGCCTTCCTTTAGCTCAAGGGGTTTTCCTTGGCCTGGAATGTTCCCTGTCCTCTAACCTCTCATAAAACCTCCAACTCTGTCTTCAAGAACCTTTATTTTTTTATTTTTTTAAGATTTTATTTATTTATTGGACAGAGAGAGAGATCACAAGTAGGCAGAGAGGCAGGCAGAGAGAGAGGGAGGGGGAAGCAGGCTCCCTGCCGAGCAGAGAGCCTGATGTGGGGCTCGATCCCAGGACCCTGAGATCATGACCTGAGCCAAAGGCAGAGGCTTATTAACCCACTGAGCCACCAGGCGCCCCTTCAAGGCCCCTTTAAATGCACCTCCCCCATGAGACCCTTTCCCAGCAATCCCCATCTCTTCTATCTGATCCTGGGTCAGCCCTTTTCATCTTTGTTTACCTTGTGTCACCCAGAGGGCCTTCAACACGTACATGCTGAAGGGAACTGAAAGCCACATGAATACTTATCACTTGAAAAACCACAGTATTAAAAGGCCAACACCTTCAAAGCTTTGCATATTTGGAATTAAGAAGGGACTTGAACAAGGAGAAATCGTTAATATAATTTTGCTCCAGAGGACTAAGTTACGACCGTGGACCTTCGTTAGCCTCAGCTAGTTCTGATCTCCAAAAGGACTCCAGAAAACCTGAGCTACCCTCCTGCGAAAGCAAATCAAGTCGCAGAGTCAGGCAGTTCTAACCACTGCCCTACCTCTTTCAGCAAAGAACAAGACATGTATTTTCTCTCTTCCTAAAAATATGCAGCTTTTAAATATATCCATCATTTTGGCACTCTCTACTGCAGAGCTTAATAAAGGCAAAACCACTGAAATTCAGGAGATGTCACAGCTCAAAGTACTCCTTGTGTTCAAGGAGGAATGTCTGGCCATGACTGATGGCATAGTTTCCCTACGGAACAATAGTCTTTGTCACCCGGCAAGGAAACATACGTAAACATACACAAAATTCTCACAATATGATTCTGTATGTTTTAGCCAGAATGGCAACAGAGTCCTTTGCAGATGATTTTTTTTTTTTTTAACAAGGACAAAATACCACCATCACTAAAATGATTGTCTTCATAAAAAGACTCTTTGGTACTCCTTTCACATCTAACAGCTAGCTGAGCTATGCCGAGACCTGAGCAACCCCAGTCCCTTTATCCTGAATTCCAGGCTCCCACCAAGGTCCAGGGTTTGGTTCAATTCCCTCGTCTAAGAAAGACTCGGTTACCAACAGGCCGTGCAGGAAACAAATGGTACGGATCCCATGCTGCCAGCCCAGGCTGCCTTTACGTAACCCCCACCAAAAAACCCTTGGGCAACTGGTACAAGTCAATGATTCACCAAACCCCAGCTCTCAGCTTTACTCAGTGTCCTTAAACTCCCCTTGTGGTTGCTCGGAGATCAATGATTAGCTATCACCACCTCACAGAAACCCGGCACACTCCTGTTTCTCCAAAGGGGCCCTTCCACTGAGCACTCCACTGCTCAGCTGGAACCAGGTGAATTTTAATAGATGTACAGTTACAAGACTTGAAGAGAGGCGGGGTTTCTGGAATGGAGAGTTTTGCAGTTGACCTTTGGAATCCCAGGGAATGAAAGCTTTTCTGTGGACCCATTATCTTAATATATATCAGACTCCAAAAGAAGGGGAATTAGGAAGCCAAATGCTTTCATGCTGGCAGAGACAAGCACAGCGCCCAGCCTTCTTCATAAACGGTCTATCCCGCTGGGAACCGGTGACGAAGACCAACCACAGACATAATCGCTGAAGGACTCGGTACCTGAGCCAGACCCTGATGTGGAGAGATCGTAGACAAGATCCTGGAGCGTCTTGTCTTTGGAGAGACACATCTCACACGAGGGATCTTCCATGTCCAGTCTCTGGCGGTTGTGATAGACACGCTGATGATAGTTAATGACAAGGAAAACAATGATGATGATGAGAAACAGGAGGAACACTGGGCCAGCAATAATGCCCACCAGCTCCACAGGGCCCCACATGGAAGGGTGCTCAGACTCCTTGAGGTGACCTGGGTCAAGTGAGAGAGGAGAGGGAAAGAACACCGTAAAAAAAAAGGGGAAAGCTCTGGCCTTAAATGTCCCCAACGCCTCCCCCCACGTGAAAAATGCCCTTTCCCTCTGCCTGTGTTCAAGGTGCCCTTGACCTCCCTGGTCTTACCGGGCTGTCTGCCTGCCCAGTGCTCTCAGATGCAGTCCTCTCTAATGGAGGAGCCCTTTCCAACAGTCCGACTCACCATCCACTCTGTCATCCGCAGCATTTCATGGGACTATCCCGCCTCAGTGCCCCAGACGGAGGCCAGCTTCTGCTCTTCCACTCGTAACAGCTGCTTTAAGCCCTGCAGCTTTAAGTCCCTCCTCTTCTGCTCTCCCAGTAATGCCTTCTATACGGTACACTTGCAAAGGAGTGCCAGCTAATAATACTTCTCAGCCATGACTGCTGTCCTTCTTTTCCAACTCTGGTCTCTTTTTCCATCTTGCCATCACCCTCGGCCTGCAGCCGCCTTTATAGAGCTCAAGGGTTGTCTCCATACCTTCCCGTGGGGATCCCTGCCTGGCTCTCCCATTCCTCACCAGCTGCCCACAGCTGTTCAGCCAGCAGCCAAAACGTGGCTTTCCCCTTTGGGACTACCCTGACCATCTGCCTACCCCTGACCTCTTGTCCACAGACCCGACTGGGGAGGAATCCCACCCCCTCGTCACCTTGGAGAACATCAAAAAGGTACCTTCACCTATGGCCAAACAAAGGGATTGGGAAAGAGCAAAGGATAAGATGATGGGGGTGCCCGACCTCCAGGATGAGCCAATAGTCCAACAAGGTTGTCCACTCACCACTGGGCACCCGCAGGTCGATCTTGTTGCAGAAGTCAGTATAGCAGCAGTGGGTGTTGCGGAGGTCCTCAGAGCTCAGGCAGTAGAAGGGCTTCCCGGCAGGGACCAGCTCCACTTTGGGGATGCAGGTGCGCACGTGGTGCTCCATGCCATCCAGGTTGAAAATGGAAACCATGCAGGCCCCATCTGTCTCACACGTGTAGTTGGCCTGGAGGCAGCTGGTACACGCACACTGCAGAGCTGCAGGAGATTGGGGAGTACACGGACATTAATGGGGAGATCTCCTCCTAGGTCCTTTTCCAGACTTAGCATACAATCCTTTAGCACACCTGATGTTCCCAAATAAGGAGCTTTTATACATACAGGGCACTAAAGATGACACCATCAATGGGAGCAACAACTTTTTACCTGCTTATTCAGCTCAGAAACCCAGCTTCCAAGCTCCACCATTTTCTTCTAAGTGCCCTATCTAATACCCGTGAGAAACAGAACTCTGTCTTAGACTCATCATACATTATTCTGTAGCTGGGAATGAAGTTTTCCTTTAAATATAGATCCCTGAGGATGAGAGGAAGGCACCTACCCCTTGGAGAAGACAGGACACCACCTCCTGCCCCAACCCTACATCCTCCATCCAAAGCCACACAGGCTGCCTCACTTGATGGTGGCTCATCATTCCATCCCCTTTCTCCGGCACCAGGCAGGCCCACAGTTTTCTGAATGCAGCATGCTCTCACACATTCTTTTGCTGCAGTGCTTTTTTTCCTGGCTACTTCTCACAAATCCTTTAAGATTCAGCCTGACCATCACTTCCCATGAAAAGCTTCCTGCCCACTAGTCCAATATCCTTCTTCTCCCTTTGGTCCATGGCAGGTGCACCTCTCACGAGGGGCGAAAAGAATAACCTCCGACGAGGATAATATTAATGCTTACCTCACAGAGTTATTGGGAGGATCAAATGAGCCGATGCATAAAAAGTGTTCAAAATTAAACCTACTCTGGAAGGTCCCTGGATATCACTTGAAAATCTTATATATGTATGTAAAATATATACACATATATAAAATATATAAATATATGTAAATATATTTTACACACACACACGTGTGCCCCCCCCAAATAGGCAGTGTGTGCAATCATATCTGGGACTAATGAGTTCTGCTGGGTGTTTTATACATAAGTTTGCACTATTGACAGGAAATTAGTGTAAATGAATTTGGCGCCTCTGAAAGCCAGTTCAGCAGCCCTGGAATCTGAAATCCTTTATTTATCCATCTAACAAGAATAGCACAGACAGCAGCAGTTGGTTCTCCCCAACACTGTCTCCCATGAGCCTAACCCAGCCCTGACCTCTCAGAACGGGCAGGAGCGCGGCTGGGACACTTAGGCTGGGACTCGGTGCTGAATGAAGCATTCGCCCATAAGGAATGGAGGGGGCAGCCCACCCAAGTCCCACACTGGACACTCATTGACTACTATCTGGATACCAAGTGGGAATATATTCAAACCAAGCCCCCTAGAGAAGAGACGTTTATGACCAATCCCATGAAAACCTAGCCTGTTGTAACTCACCCCTTCAGGCTGTAAACAGTCTATCTTTGTCTCTTCCTGCAAGACACTGGAAGGCATCTCTCGGCTTTTCTGTTCCAAAGACAGATTCTAAATATCTCTGTGCCCAAGCCCCCTTCCTCAGGCTCTATAAATGATGCAATCCCTGGCCATTCCCACGCCCAGAAACAAAGGGGAGCGCACACTGACAGGTACGCGGCCGCTGCGGGGCTTCACGTAAGGCCTTTGATCAGAGCCCTTTCTTCTGGGAGAAATTCCAAAACACGCAGCTACCTGCTGAAGGGTGAGGATAGTGTTCTATTTTAAGGGCAGGAAGTTTAAAGCAGGTCCCTTTAGACTAGAATCCAAATCATAAAAGCAATTTTTAAAAATAAGTTCTTCCTAAACTTCGATTCCAACCCTTTTTAGACACAAGAAAGACGAAGAAACCTCCTCATTTTCCCCCAAATACCTCTTTTTGCTCCCTCTTTTATTCTTCTTGCTAACTTAAATTTACTTCTGCATCCTTCTTAATACTCGAGCCAAACCTTTTACTCACACTGGAGTCCTGACCGGCCATCCAAGGAAGCTGACGCCCCTCCCCTCTGTGTCAGGGAGGACATGGAGGCACAAAGGGGTTCCCCGTGGAGCACACACCTCTCAGTACATGTGCCCTGACATCCAGCAAAGAGAACAGCACTGGGGCTATTTTGGGAAACAAGAAGGGAAAACGAACAACTCCAAGAGGGCTATTCTGAGCACAGTGGGACACACAGGCCAGACCCGTAGCCGCCTTTTAAGAAGGCAAAAAAAAAAAAAAAAAAAAAGCTTCACTTCAGAGTCTGTCAATTAGCAGACAGGAGAGCTGAGAGTCTCTGATTCCAGATACTTATTCTCCCTTCGTTGGTTCATGGCCTCTTTCACAATGATTCATTCTGGAGAACGAACACACCCACACGTGGCTCATTATTTTTGGGAAGTACTTAAACAATCTTGGTGTAAGACAGGAAAGAACAAAAGTGGTGAAATCTATGTGAGACGGGATGAAGAACGGAACTGGGAGCAGGGCCATGTGGGTTTGTGATAAGGAATTAGGCAAGTCCCTGAATCTATCTGGGCCTCAGCCGCCTAACCAGAAAATACCATTTATCTTACAGAGATGGTATGAAGATTAGCCAAACATCCGCTAAGTGCTATGAGTGTTCGGAGAAGGACTCTCTCTGCACACATCTGGGTACCTCTATATATTTTACAGAGTGAGGGAGAAGTCTGAAACAGATATATCTTTAAGATAACCATCACCACTGCCCACACCCCTGAAAAGGCTTCAGTTACTTACCACTTGAGCTACAGCAGGGTTATGATGGCAGGAGTAGGTCAGAAAGACCCAAGGCTCAAATACCAGCTCTAACACCAATCACATGACCTTGCGCAAGTTAGTAGCCTTCCTGCACCCTGGTTTCCTAATCTGTAAAGTTGCACCCTGGTTTCCTAATCTGTAAAGTGGGACTGTTAATAATTGCTTTACAGGACTATGCAAGAACCATACGAAATAATACATTTTAAAAAGAGCTCGGCAAGTAGGTGCTCAATCAACTTTACTCTCTCCTCTAAATGTAAGACTCAAACATAAACAGACACACATTCAGGCATGCACACATACAACGTCTCTTTAACCACTAATTAGGAAGTGGCAAGTTACAGTAAGACCACAGCAAGCGCAGCAAGAAACTGCTATGCTAGCCTCAGCTCTTCCAGGAACTAGCCGTGTGGCACTGGGCAAGTCACTTCAACTCTCTGAACCTCATATTCCTCACAATTAATCAAAAAGAAGGCAACGAACTAAATGACCTCTAAAATCCTCCAGCTGAAATCTGAATCCAGTTTGTTTTTAAATTCACGTTGTTTGGATCACTGATCCAACACTGGGAAGTTCTGCTTTAAATTTTAAACGCTTTCTCCTGAACTTTAAAGATAGACGTTAGGGCTAGTCTTCTGTTAATATTCATTTATCAAAATAAGTAATAAAGTTATAAAAACATCTGAATTTACTGTAAATGTACTAGTTCACTAAATCAGAAACCTAACCCCAATTTCTTTGAAAAGTTAAATCTGGACTAATGAATGCTAACAGCCCTTTATAATCTACTTCATAGTGACTCATCAGGTTAAATCAGTCTACAAACACACACACACACACACACAATATATATATATACCTAAAACTCTCTGTATTCCACAACCAAGGAGTTATGTAGTAGAAATAACACAATTTGGAAAACCAATCACAGAGGAGTAACAAAATCACTCGAGACACAACCAAGTTAAAAAGTGGTCAGAATGAGGAGGCACCTTGGTGGCTCAGTTGTTTAAGCGCCCAACTATTGATTTCGGCTCAGGTCAAGATCTCGGGGTTGTGGGATGGAGCATCGCGTCAGGCTCCCTGCTGGGGGTGTGGAGTCTGCTTAGGATTCTCAGCCCCTCCCCCCACTAAAAAAAGGGGGCCAGAACAAATTTCTCACTAGCACAGCATTTTGTTATTAACAAGTCAGTTAAACCTTAACTAAAAACAAACCACCTAAGCAGGATTTGAATGTGGCTCCAAAATAGGATCAGAAGGCGGTCTGTGGTAGGATAAAGATGCAAAATTGATTCACGAGAGAGTCTGTGTTTCGAGGAAGACCAACAAGTCCCAACTTGGACAGCATCTGTCTAGCTGCACTTTATGGAGGCACTGAGGCGGCTAGGTCTCAGCAAGGACAACCCCACTACAGGTAGGGCACTGGGGCTGGGTCCTCTCTCTCTCTGACCCACTGGGAGGACACTTAGCAAGGGTGTGGCTCATGGGAATTCCCAAGAGCCACCATACAGGCATAAGCTCCTGGCCACTCAGACCACTATTCTGTCCCAGACCACATCTCCAGGGGATCGGGTATGGGACAGCACAGGGTGGTGGCCCAACCTTGGAAGGTAAGAGGCAAACCACAAAACATCCACATCTGTCCTGGTAGATAAAGACCCACAAATGTTCTAAAACATCTTAAAGCTACAGTATTTATGACTTGTAGCTTACATTAATCGCCCGTTGGGGCTATAAAGCTTCACTGATTTTGTACCAGAATGGGGCACCGTCCTGTTCAGGTACGCTAAACCTGCCTCTTCCAAAGCTCACTGGGCCACCTTCTAAGTCTGCAGTATCCACAATGAACTGCCCAAACCAGCTTGCGCAGCCCTTCCCCTTCACAACTTCTGCCTCTCAGCCCTCCTCCTTCCAGATGACAGCCTCCATCAGATAGGCCAAACTGATAAGAATAGCCTATTACAAGGCATGATTATTTTAATTAGTCTTCCTTGGACCTTATCCAAACCCTCTACAGCTTCCTTAGGATAGAATAAAGACTTCAACTCTGAGTCGGAAGAGCCAAAATGATCTTTTGGAAAAAAAAAAAGAACAAAGTTGGACGACTCACACTTCCTGATTTCAAAACTTACTACAAAGCTACAGCAATCAAAACAGGGTGGTACTGGCATTAAACACAGACACATAAATCAATGCAACAGAAATGATTCCAGAAACCAACCTATACATTTCTGATCGACTGATTTTTGACAAGAATTTCTAGACTGTTCGGAGGGGAAGGCCTAGTTTTCAACAAATGGTCCTAGACAACTGGATATGCAGATGTGAAAGA